CATGTTTTTCAGCGAGCCCTGTCCAGTAATTAGTGCTGCTCCTACAACAAAAGAGAAAATAGAACATTACTGCACAATCACAATTAATGTTAATCTGTGTTGTTATTAGTGTCAAGTTATATATGATATATGATGACTCTCTTGCTTACTTTTATAGCATTCTTGCATGGCTTTCTCGATTGTCGTCATCAGACTGCTGTAGATTGTTTTCTTACGCTCCCGGATGATTTGGTTGAGTATTGTCCTCATTTTTTCTTCCTTTGAGAGAGAAAATAAAGTATAGATCAACATATTTGAAAACAAAGTTAAAGGTAACACAAACAGCATGATAATGGACTAATGGATAGGATGGTAGTAGGATGGTAGTAGAGGTCTTTTACCTCTGTCTTGAGAAATATCAGTTGCAGTTCGACATCCTTGTGCTTTTGAATCAGCCTCTCTGTGTCAAGTGAAAAGTTATTCATGACCCCCTTGAATGGTCCATATTTTCTTTCGTTTCTGAAACGTGAAGTTGAGATGTTTCATAAAAGGTAGTATTGTAGAGGATAATAATTAATTAATAATGTATTTTATATGTATTATATTGCATTATCTGTATAATGTAGATTTTAATTGAATTATTTTCTTCATAGTTTGTAAAATGGACCAACAAAGGGTTTTATGTCCCCATTAGGTAATTTCTTACGGGAAGGTCTTTCTGAACTCCTGATCAATGCTGTCAGTCAAGTATGAAGCCAAGTCCGCATTGAGGTTTATTTGTTTTACTGTTCCGCTCTTTGGTTTGTATGTGCCATTGTTCAAAACTACACACTTCATTATCTTGTGAAAACCGGCACCTGCTACCCCTATCTAAAACAAATAAGAAACATTTTAAACATGTATTCATATGAGGTACAAAATCATTTGTTTTGAATAAAAATGTAAATACGTACAGGATACAAGACAGACTTCACAACACTTTCACATGAACGCTTGGATTGTTCAACCCCCTGACTAAGGCATTTTTTAAAAGTCTTATAAGCATCCTCCATGGGTTTTCTGACTTTATCAAGCTCTTTCCTCATGTGTTCTTCAAGGTCTGTGCACACTTCAGGTTTTCCACCAGCCTGAAATCAAACACAACACATTCAGTATTCAAAGCAATGAAACTATAATACTACCTGATTGGGTTTTCTTTCAAGGCAGCATTTATCTCATTTTTTGCTCTTTACAGATACTGCAACTACTGTTGCTACTGCTCAATTAAAAGACAGGGCTTACATATGATGTTTACAAATTAATTCCACAAACACTATAAGTAGAACTGTCACAAGGTCATTTCAATTCAGATTTGGTTTTGTTTTGTTTTGTTTCTGTCGTTTTCAGTGAGCTTGGCATTCGCAAGAAACATAATTAGGCTACTGTAACTAGCATTGTTTAAATTCATCATAAGGGTAGGTAGGTCGTAGGTACATATTAGCTCAATGTCTACACCACTGTCTCATATTCCAAAAAAATTCTGAAGCAAAATAACTTTAAGTTGGCACTTCAAGTGAAAAGCTCAACTTATGTTGTAATTGTTGGCCAAACTTTAGTAACATTAAATGAGCAGTTCAAGAACTCTACTATCAGTAATGTTGTAAAGTGGAATTTGGAATAACAAGTACGTCAGCTAACGATAGTATCCCTGGAAAAACATTAACAACTCCTGGAGTTTAGCTAATTGTAATGGCTAGATACTAATTCGAAATAACTCAACTGTATCAAGCTAATGACAGTCCCAGGCTTAACATATTGTCATTGAAGCCAATTAAGGTTATAACACTATTGTAAGCTATTCTTACCTTAAGGCATGTGGGAAATCAAAAACTGACCTCCAAGAGACCCTCAAGTTCGCATCCCATTTATTTTTTGTTTGTTAATTTATCAATTCTGTTGCAATCGAGTACACACCCTTTAATTACTGTTGTTGTGCAGTCTTCTTCAAAAATCAGGAAATATACTACTTTGAAGGTCTTTATGTAGGGTGACATTACACATACTCTTGTAATTTGACTTTCGCACATTTGAGCGTAGTTTCTCTTAAGATTATTTATTTGCTATGAATATTTTTATTTTCTGTCAATTAATGACAATTAAGAAAACTAAAGACAATCAAATAAGTTTGATCTTACCACTTCTCTATAGCTGGCACCTTGAATCAGAGAGAGAATCCCATAAGCTCCAGACACATAGTTTAATGTCTTTGAGTGACAGTCATTGAGATTTTGCAGAAAACTCTGAAGTTTGGGTATTTCTGTAAAAAAAAGTAGTTTGTCTCTTACATATTCACACATACTTAAATTTAAATCTCAAAATGCAATTAGTCATGATTGTTTAAAGTGTTTAAAGTAAACTAAAAGAAAATATGCATTTTAGCTACACACTTTCCATTATAAAAAAATATGCATATATACAGACTTCACCTACCAGTGTCGTCTGGGTTTAGACGTTTTCTTTTCAGAAACTCTTTGGAGCTCACTGTGAACACTTTGAAACTTTCATCACTGAAATGTTTCTGACAAAAAATGTTTTGATTTTAAGGCAGGCTTGCAGGTGTAGACAATCTTACATTTTCTTTTAGTCTATACAACTCACCTTAATCTTGTTTAGTTTACTGAATTCTCCTCTCACTTTGTCCTTGGCTTTACTGTTTTCTTTTAATATGAGAGCACGGACATCAGCTGCTGAGCTATAAGAAAAGGTTTGTATAAGTATAAGTGGCACTGCTGTAATTATTAGAGAAAATTAGAGAAACAATTTAGAGACAGCTTTTTCAGTTTAGTTTGGTTTTTGCATCTAGAGTAGGAGTCTCTTAATATCTTAAAGCAGGTCGACTTAATATATTGACTGTAGACAAATATCACAGTTTTTCATGTTCAGCTGACCTACTGGAACTGGAATAATTAAATAGTATAATATATAGAGTACCAATTGAACAGTGTTTCCATTTGCTTATATTCTTACACATTTATATAAGATTACATACACACTGATGAATATTTTAGATGTTAAATTTGACTTTGTATTGAATCCTAAATCACTTACAG